ATCTTTCTCCTGGGGGGAGGGTCCCCAGACAGAGCCTTCTTTGTTCTGCGTACTTACCGAATACCTACTATGCGCCAGGCACTGTTGAAGGCACTGGGCGTGAGTGGGAACCAAAACATTTAAGGTCCCTGTTCTCGCGGGATTTTAGGTCCCAGGGCTGGGGCACTGTCGACGTGCGCATGCGCGCAGGGGTAGATGAGGAAAAGCATGTCTGAACCGGGCGAGAGGTGTGAGTTAGCAATGGGATGCGCCTGTGAGGGACCTCGGGGCCGTCAGTTGTTCACTGTGGGAAGCTCGACTTTAAGAAGGAAACCGGCTATGGGAGGCGCTGTGGGGAGTGGGTACCAGGCAGAAGGAACTGCGAGGACAGAGGTGCAAAGGCGGGAAGTGGCTGATGTTAACTCAGAAGGGTCGGAAAGCTGGCCAGTGTGGCCCTGACCAAATGTGCAGAGGCATTGGGGTCAGGGTCGGGCAGGGGGCGGATCACCCAGGGCCCACCGACCCCAGATAGGGCTTGGGGTTTTATTCTCAGGGCATTGGGAAGCCATTAGACAGTCTTCTGAGGGAGAATGACAGGATCTGAGGTGTTTAAGAGGTCACTCAGCCGTGTGGAGAATAGACTGGAGATGCCGAGAGAAGCCACAGGGGGACAGGACACGAGATGGGCCCAGTCAGGGTAGAGGCCGTGAGAGGAGTCTGGGCCAGAAGCAAGGGGTGAGTGGAGGATATTATGATGGCATACATGGACATCGGAATGGGGGGGGGAAGGAGGCCAGGTTGGCACCAGCTTTGTGGCCCGAACTGTGGGCCAAGGTGGGGTTGTTGGTGAAGGTGAGACAGACTGGGGCTGTGGGGGAAGATTAGGAGTCACGCTTTAGACCTGAAATGCCTTTCAGTGACATCTCCTCGGTCAGGTCCCACCAGGGACACAGCTGCTGCCCTGAGGATCTCAGCAGAGGGAGCTGAGTGCGGGGGTTGGCTCAGTGGTAAAGGAGGGGTGCTGCTGTGAGGAGACTGGAAGTGGGGCCACCCAGCAAGCCAGAGCAGGATGCTGTTTCTGCCACCACAGGCTGCAGGGACAAGATCAGGTTCGCCCAGGCCAGGGTCACTGCACTGCCAGGGCACATGTGTAGACAAAGCCCCTGCCTGAGATGCTGGCCTGGGTGAGGTTGTGGGGGAGGGGAATACCCAGGTTGGGAATAGAAATGACAGTTTTCAACCTGCAGCTCTCTTCCCAGATGACACTGCCTTGAAGCAGCATCTGGCCTTTCCCCAGGGCCTCCCCTCACCCCAGCTGCCACCTTGGACTTCTGAGTCTTTCTGGCCCTTGAGCACTCCCCTGCCTCCCTCAGTCCTAACCATCTTGAACTTCGGACTCCTTCTTTCCCAAGACTCCACCCCCCAACCGGTTTTTGGAACCTGGGAAAGGGGGAACCCGGGGCCTCCCGGCCGCCGGGGGCCTTCGTCTAAGAGGCTGATCCCTGTGTGCCATCAGAGGCTGCAGGGAAATTGGGGGAGCAGTAAAAGCAACAAATAAAGAGTGTGTGGAAGACCCGGTGTCCAGTGCTGTCTGTAGGAGATGGGCTGGCTTGGCTCTCTGACCCGGCACCTGAGAGCTGGTTATGTTGGATAAACATCCTTATCTTGGTGCCCCCGCCCCCCAAGCCATGTGGCCAGGGCCTGACTCCTCACCATCTCTTCTGGTGGGCATGGGGGTGGTACCACTACAGAAGCTTGTTTCTCAGACAGCATGAACTGAGGGCAGTGAGACCTTTGACCCTTGCCCAGACCCCTATCAAAAGGAGACCTCTACTCGGCTCAGGAAGGAAAACGGCCTGCCTTGGTCCCAAGTTTGGGTTTTATTCTGGCCCCTGACATTAAGAGAACTCAGGCAGCACAAAGACTGAAATGAGGCCTTGGCACAGCGAGCGTTCTCCACTTAAGTAGATTCTCGCAACCCAAATGGAAAGCATCATGGGAACTTCTATTTGCCAGTCCTGTGGGTGAGCAAGAGCCCTCTTGTGAGGGAAGGTGGGGACAGGAGACCCCATCCCTTCAGTGTGGCTGGGAGCATTCAACAGTGTACTTTTTGGGGGCATCCCTGGTGGCTCAGTGATAAAAAATCCACCTGCCAATGCCGGATAGAGGGGTTTGATCCCTGATCTCAGAAGATCCCACATAACCACGGAGCAACTAAGCCCTGGTGCCACAACTACTGAGCCTGTGCTCTAACATCTGGGAGCCAAAACCTCTGAGGCCCGACAAGCCCATGCTCCCCAACAAGAGAAGCCACTGCAAAAAACCTTCGCCCTGCAACTAGAGAGTGGCCTCGTAGCAAGGAAGACCCAGCACAGCCAAAAATAAATAAAAATTTTTAAAGTTACTTTCTACAAACCCAGCCCCTAGGCACAGGCTGGCCACAACTGATATTTAGCCAAGAACACAGCAATGTGTTGCATCAAGGGGGCCAGTGAGCCTTCAGTGCAGCCTGTGAGTATCATGATATTTTCAGACTTGGTAGGCAGTTTAAGGAATTTTTGGGGATTACTCTACCCACACACACTTTGCCTTTATGAGATGATAGTTGCACCTAACCTCCAAGACATGACTGTGAACTTATATTGCTAAGTATCAATGCTAGATGGCTCGCTTGATCTTTTCATTTGATCTTTCCAACAACCAATTGTATGAGGTAGGTACCATGTAGTCTCCATCTTGCAGATGAAAAAACAGTACTTCATAGACATTATGGAGAAGGAAATGGCAACCCACTCCAGTACTTGTGCCTGGAAAATCCCATGGACCAAGGATCCTGGTAGGTTAGAGTCCATGGGGTCACCAAGACTCGGACATGAGTGAGCAACTTCACTTTGCTTTTCTTTGAGTGACAGCTGCCATATGAACCCGAACCTTCTGACTCTCTTACCCACGTTCCTGACCACCAGGCTCTTCCACCTCCCAAGGAAGGACGGCATTACTTAGCCCAGATTGACCTCACTGAAAGCTCTCTCGGTGCAGAGTAGACGCTAGGAGTCAGTGTTCAAAATGGCCAATTTGTGCTCAGGATAAGGCTGAATTGCCCAACTGGGGAGCTAAGTAGTAGTGGGACATGCTGCCTCAGGAGTCCCAGAGCCAGTGGTCATCATGCATAACCAGAAAGGAGCTGAGGTTCTCCCAGACTCCTACATATTGTGCTCAGACCCTTTGGTAAGGTCTCTGTCTAACATTCACGCTGTGACTTTGCCTTCCTAAGCAGAACATTTGCTCTCAGACTGGATTTTCCCTCTGGGACAGAGCCACCCTCCCTCTAACGCCTGTCACTGCTATGTAGATGTCCCTGTGCAGATGCCCCACAGCATGTGTTCCTCCTTCCTCCGTGTCAGCCCCTTGCCTGGCACCTCTCCTACTATCCACACACCTGAACGCAAGAGGCTTATAGTGAAGTGAGAGAAAGCCTGGACACAGGAGGCTAGGGACCTGGATTCTAGCCTGTGTGTGGCCACTGACATCCCCGGGACTTCAGGGGAAATTTTTATTGAGGGCCTACAGCACTCCAGCACTGCTCAGTTCTTGGCATGAGTCTTTATTTTATTTTATTTATTTATTTGGTGGTGCTGGGTCCTAGTTGTAGCATGTGGGATCCTTAGTTGTGGCATGCAGGATCTAGTTCCCCAACCAGGGATCAAACCTGGGCCCCCTATGCTGGACGTGCAGAGTCCTGGCCACTGGACCACCAGGGAAGTCCCAGGGAGAGCCTCACTCTTAAGATGACATGTGAGCAGCAGTGAAGGAATCAGCCATAAGGACATCTGAGGAAAGAATTCTGAGTTGCAGGAACAGCCAGCGCAAAGATCCTAACGTGGGAGCGCGCCTAAAATTTCAGATAAACAACAAAGAGCCTCCTGTAGAATAAAGAGAATAAAGAGGGAAGGTCACAGGGGGAATAAGAGGCAGATTGTGCAGGTCCCTGAGTTGCTGTGAGAACTTTTTTCTTTTAAATACTTATTTTTATCTGTGTCAGATCTTAGCTGTGGCTTGTTGTGGCTCACAGGCTTAGTTGCTCTCCAGCATGTGTGATCTTAGTTCCCCGACCAACGCTTGAACACATGTCCCTTGCATTGGAAGGCAGATTCTTAACCACTGGACCACCAGGGAAGTCCCAGACTGGCTTTTCCCTCCACACAGGAGGTGCCGTCAGGGAGTTCTGAGCCCAGGAGGCATGTGATCTCCTTCCACACGTGTGGAAGGGCTCCTTTGTGGGGGTGAAACTAAAAACAGGCAAGAGGTAAGGCAGGAAGCTCAGTGGGGGAGCCACTGTGGTTGGAACAAGTCTGGCAGTCGAGTGGGGAGAAGGGAGACTCCGGATATGTTCTGAAAGTAGAACCAACAGAATTTGTTGTGGCAAGGGGCTCAGAAAGGCTTGTTAATTTACTAATATAACACAGCTAGGAAATGGCAAGAGTCCAGGCTGAGCTCCAGGTCTGTCCAGTTTTGAAACCTGAACAGTTTTCAATCTGCTAGTTGCTTTTGCAAGAAAGAGGGTGGATTGAATCAGATGATCCTTGAGTGTTCCTATCAGCTCTAGAGTTTTAAACCTGACAGTTCTGTGCTTTGAAGACAGAGCCCTCAAATCTGTTAGCATTGTATGTAGACCAAGAGTCCATAGGCAATGTATGAGCAAGGGGACTTCTAAATTTATTCTTTGAAGGGTTAGTGCCTGCATGGTTCCCAGACAGCCTTTCTGGGTTTGCTTCTTTTCAGGATCTGGTCAAGAGCTTTGGTTGGCAGCTAAGGAGTTAGTGGTTTTACTTTGTTAGCAAGGACTCCCTGACTGAGTGAGGGAAGAGACTTGCCAAGGTCGTACACAGCAGATGCAGGTCAAGCACCCGCCTCTGGAACTCCATCCACACCTAGGCATCTCCCCTGTGTCCCCGCCTCCCTCCTCAAACCTCCTTCTCCACCCAGATTCCTTCCCTGGGAGAAAAAGGATGTAGGCGGAGTTGGTTTTCAGGTTTTTATTGTGGACGCATTTTTGGTGAGGGATGGGGCGGAGGGGCAGGCCTTCCCAGGAGAGGGCAGAGGAGGGCAGGCGTCATGGGGGGGCGGGGGCGCGGAGAGAAGGGTGGGGGAAACTTCTTTACTCTCGGATCTTCAGTTCCCGCGCCATCTGACAGAGGGCGCAGGGCAAACAAAAGGTGAGGGCTGCCCAGTCCTTCCCGACGGAGCCCTAGAGGGTGGGAGAGAGAGGTTAGCAGCCCTAAGCTGGCATCTGAGGAGGCCAGTCCCCCAGCCCGCGGCTCCCAAAGGGCCCCGGGCGCGCACGCACCTGGATGCGGTAGCGCTCGCGCATGCCGGTGCGGAGGGAGTGCAGGCCTCCGGGCAGGTAGGGCGTGCAGCAGCACTCGCCGAAGTCGTCGGAGATGCGGCAGGCGAGGCACAGCGGGGCGAAGGTGCCGCACAGACCTGGGGCGGACACGGGGCGCTAAGGGCGGGGCCCACCGGGGGCCTCCGGCCGGCTCCGCCTCGGAGAGGGGCGAGGCGGGGTCCGCGGGGCGCGGGGTGCGGGTCCCAGAGAAAACTGAGCGTTGGAAGAAGTGAAAGTCCCAGAGGAAATGAGGGGTCCGAAGAGTAGGGGTTTCGAGAGCGGGAAAGAGGGTTTAAAGAAGGAGTTGGAGCCGCAAGGAAAACAGTCGAGGGTGCAAGGGGGACGAGGAGGGTCCCCGCGAGAGTTGGAAGGTGTCATGAAGCCAGGATCCTAGGGACTGTCGGGCGTCGGAGAAAGGCGGGAGGGTTAGAGACCGGGATTCAGGGCCCACGGAAGGGACCGGGGAGTGGGGTGGGAAGCGCGAGGAGAGTGAGGCTGAGGGTGACCCTCCGTCCCCTCCCGCTCCTTCCCGGGCCTGGAGAGGGAGCGACAGGGCACTCACAGACGGGCATGTCGTTGCAGCAGTCCGTGAGGCCGGTGTGCCAGTCACTGAGCTGGGTCTGGTAGCAGGTGCTGGCGCTTTGGGGCTGACTGGTCACTGGGTAGGACATGGCTGCGGAGGGAGGGGGCGGGGGTCAGCGGGCAGCCTCGCAGCACCTCCCCGGCCCTGGCACCTCTGCCGTCCCTCCCTCTGCCGGGCAGTCCGGGCAAGGCCACCAGGCCGCCCGCCGAGGGGACACCACTGCGTCTTCCCCGTCCCTGCCGCCACTTTTGGGCATCGCCACCCCATTCTGTCCCCCGAGTTGCTGCCTCCTGCATGTCTGGTTCAGTTGGGCGTGGGGGGTGGGGGGACATCCTGCAGGTCTAGGGGAGGTTGGCGCCACATGTGGGCGGGGCCGAGACGTGCCGCCGCCTCCTCCACGTCTGGGCTTGGGGTGCTGGGTTCCCGCGTTTCAGGGCTTCTGGGGTGCAAGCAGGCGCCGTCTGTCTTCGAAGCCAGAGTGCCCAGGGGAAGGAAGTGGCCATGTTCCAGGGACTGGAGGGTTTGGGGGTCCATCCAGCGATCCCACCTTTGCCTTTCACGTTGTCGTGCATCTCAAACTGCATCTTGCTGGCCCTGAGGAGGTGGCGTTGGGGACGGCAGAGGTGGCGGCGGTGACAGCGTCAGAGTCTGCCCAGGGGGTGCTGGATACTGAGGGAGGTCAGGGCAAGGGGTGGGGCACTGGGGGCTGAGTTCTCAGGGGTAAGGTGCTGGGGAGAAAGAGGCCAAGTCAGCTTGCCTGCTAGGAAAGAATGGGACAGGGATATATGGGGTTGGGGGCGAGAAACTCGCCCATCTCTGTACAGCTGCCCGACAGACCCCAGAGGACCCTCTTATACCAGAGGCAGTGCTGGAGAGAATGACCAAGAGACAGACAGGCAGAGTCAGAGACAAGGGGAGAGAGAGATCAGAGCTGGGTGCCTATAGAGATGCCGCCAGTAGCACTCACACCTGCCCAGTACCTTTTTTTTCTGCAAGCCCCTTTCATGGACAGAACACTTGAGGCTCAGGGAGCTGAAGAAAAATACCTCACACCTGATGGCCCAGCCAAGAGGGTCAGCAAAGGCGGAAGCAGGTCCCAGAACTTCCAAATTCAACCCAGTGTCCACAGGTTGAGAAGGGAGGAGGGTCACAGGGTGCAAGAGAAAGATAGGGATGTCCAGAGAGGTAAGCAGTCAGAAGAATGTAAGGAGACAGATGTGGAGTTGGCTGGAGGAAGAAGAGAGCAGAGACACCAATCTCTGAGCAGAGAGCTGTGGGCAGATGCGCCTACCTGCAGGACTGCTGCGGCGATGATGGAGACAGAGGTATGGGTGACACCTGGGCACTGAGTGGCTTATAAATGGGCGGGCTGTGTGGTGCTGGGCGGGGCTCTGACAAAGATGCTCAGGGAGCCGAGCCGGTCTGGCTGACCCTCTTCTCCCCACTGGGACTTCCCCTCCCTCCCTCTCCATCCTTCATCCCGCTTCTGCTCGCTCTCAGAGGACCTAGGAGATAGTGGGGGAGGGAGTCCAAGGGTGAGGAGCTGGGAGTAGAGGTCTAAACTGAAGGGGGCAGAAAGAGAGATGGAGGCAGAGGGCAGAGGGGAGGTGCAAGGGGCATAGCTGCCCAGAGACCAAAGACAGGGAAAGACACAGAGATGGGGAGGGACTGGGAGACAGAGAAGGAGAGGACCAGAGGGGAGAGAGAGACAAGGAGATTCAGAGAGATGGAGAGAGACAAGAAGACAGAGAGAGAGAGAGAGATGCTGAGACAGAGGGGCACAGACATCTGGGGAGAAATAACAAGAAAGGGGGAACCAGAGATTCAGAAAAGAGAAAAAAGGTCAGGTGAGTGGGGGTGCCAGCCACTGGCTGACCCATGCCCCACAGCTTCAGGGGAAGGGAAAGGGCGAGACGAGAAAGACCTGTGGTGCTCCCACCACCCTTAGTGAGGCCCCAACTTCCCTGGGAGTGGAGGCTTCGGGTCCTCCCAATCAGGCCCACCAGGCACATGGGGGGACAGTGTGTTTGGGGGGTGACCATGCTGGAACCAAAGTAAATAAACACACCCCACCCAACTCCAACTTGGGAAGGGAGGAGGCTGGGAACTGAGAAACCTGTGGTTCCTGAAGGAGGAAGATGCGGTCCAGGATGCTTGAGTCCAAGCAGAGCAGAGGACTGAGGGCTGGGACTCCTGGGTTTGAGGGTGGAGGGAGATGAGAGTCAGACTCTCAGGGGTAAGCTACGCTATGTCCCTGAGTCGGGTAGGGGTCCTGGGATACCCAGACTGCTGGCTTCCTGGGAAATGAAAGAGCTGGGGGCCTGGGTGCCTGAGTCACCCAGAAGTCTCCCCTCAACAGGTCTGGCGGGGTTGGAGGTGACTCAGTGAAGGAAGCGGCATTAGAGCTGGGTGGGTGAGGTTCCCAGCACGGGTGTCACTCCAAAAATGTAGGAGGCACTGGAAAATCGGGGTGTTAGCTGCAGAGGGAGTGGTGTCGTCACGCACTGGGCATCACCTTACTGACCTGGAGTCCCGTTTTCCCCCAAGCCTTGGTCTCCTGGCACTGCCCCAAAGAGGCTTGCTGTCCTTGTCCCAGACCTAAGGACAGCACCCAGCCTCTTGCCTGTTGTCGCCATCACTTGGTCTGGGAGCCTGAATGTCTGGGAAACATCTCCCCACTCTGTACCCCATCTCTGCATTATTGTTTCTCTGGCTCTGAATCTCTCCTTTCTTTCTTTCCCCATCTCTGCAGATCTGTCTCCCAGTTTCTCCTGGTTCTCTGTCTCCTCATCTCTGAGGCCCTCATCTCAAGCTCTGTGTCTCAGTGTCCTTATCCGGGAGTCTCTGCGCCCGGTCTAGGGATCTCTCCCCACCTTGAGGCCTGCTCCATGGAGGTAGCCACAGGACCCCCTCCCCCAGCAGACCAGACCACGGGCTGCAGGTGACTCAGTCAGGGTCAGATTCTAGGGCTCCAAAGATGACAACCTGAGTCGTCCTCAAATTTCCTCTTCCAACTCTGACATAGCCCGGGGGCCCCAATTAGATACAGCAACTCATGTAGATGAGGAAATCAGGACTGGAGAAGCTGTGAGGTGGCCTGCTCCGGGGTGAGGAGGAGGGCAGAGGGCAGGACGAGGAGAGCTGGGGGCTGAGGGGTGACCATGGCAGAGTCCCCAGGCACCTGCCTACATCCCCCTCAAATGGGGTTGCTAGATAAAATACCGGATGTCCAGTTAAATTAGAATTTCAGATAAACAATACCTTTTTACTATAAGTATGTCCCATATGGGGCTTGCCAGGCGGTGGCTCAGTGGTAAAACATCCGCCTGTCAAACAGGAGACTTGGGTTTGATCCCTGGGTTGGGAAGATCCCCTGGAGAAGGAAATGGCAACCCACTCCAGTATTCTTGACTGGGAAATCCCATGGACAGAGGACCCTGGTGGGTTACAGTCCATGGGGTTGCAGAGAGTCAGACATGACTTAGCAACTAAACAGTAACAGCAGTAGTGTCCCATAAGTTGGAGGGAATACACTTACTCTTAAAAAAGTATTGTGTTGGCCAACAAGTTCATTCAAGCTTTTCTGTACCATCTCTGTACCATCTTCTGTACCATTTATGAAAAAACCCAATCGAACTTTCAGGCCAACCGAATATTTGTTGTTTACCTGAAATTCCAATTTAACTTGGTGTCCAGTATTTTTATTTGGTAAATCTGGAAACTCACTTTCAAAGAAGGGAATTCATAAAAGAGGAAATAATAGCAATCCTCTCCAGTGTTCTTGCCTGAAAAATTCCATGAACAGAAGAGCCTGGCACGCTGTAGTCCGTGAAGTCACACAACTGAGCATGCACACATGAGGGGAGAGGAAGGAGATGGATTGGTAGCAATAAACAGAACTAAAATAAAGCAGGTGGGAGGATCCAAATGTCTGTGCCCCTCTTCCCCCAGAACACAGGAATCCCTCCTCAGAGTTCAGGTCCTACTCACCCTCCTTGCCTCCCTTAGAACCCAGTCCCTACTCCAGAACCCAGGCTCCTAGCCTCTTTCTCCCCAGAATTCAGGTGTCCAGGCCAGGTCAGGGTCCAGTTGCCCAATGTGGGTTTCACAAGGAGGGTGGTGCCATCCATGACCCTGGTGGAACCAGTCCGGCTGAGCAGACAAGTGAGGTGGCCCCCATCCCATCCTGAGCCTGCTGCTTCCTCGAGGGCCAGCCCAGCGGGGCTGGGCGCAGAACCGGACGGACTCAGGGTGCTCTGGGTGCGTCAGAGTCTGGGTTTGGGTGTGTTGTATCTCTGCTGTGTGGTGTGTGTGCCTCTCTGGGTGCTGCTGCTTCTGTGTGGGGATTGTCACGATGTGTCTCTCTCTGAGTGTCCCTGTGTCCTGGGGTGTGACACGTGAGAAGGTCTTTTCTATTTACGTGTCTGGATTGCCCTCCTGTCATTCTCCCTCCTGTACACCTGTGTTTGGATGTGGTCTCAGTTGTCAATTTCTGTAATTCTGACTAGGTTAAGGCAGGAATTATTATTTTTTAACATTTTATTTATTTATTTTTGGCCATGCTCCGTCCCAGTTGCTGCATGGTCTTTTCTCTAGTTGTGGCGAGCAGGAGCTAATCTCTAGCTGTGGGGTGTGGACTGCTTGTTTTTGTGGCTTCTCGTTGCAGAGCACGGGCTCTAGGGCATGTGGGTTTCAGTAGTTGTGGCGCATGGGCTTAGTTGCTCTATGGCATGTGGGGTCTTCCTGGATCAGGAATTGAACTCATGTCCCCTGCAATGGCAGGTGGATTCTTTACCACTGAACCACCAGGGAAGCCAAGGAATTAGTTTTTGAGTGGTAGCTTTGTATTCTGGACTCTATAGCCAGAAAACCTTAGTTCAAATCTTGATGGCCTCTGAATGGCTGTGAAACCTTGGGCAAACCACTCAACTTCCCTGGACCTCAGTTTTCCCATATACAAAATGGGTTTTTGCCAATAGAGTTGCTGAGAGGATTAAATGAGTTAATTCATGTAAAGAAACTGCACCTGGCCCATAGGAAACATTCTGTGTTTATGAGGATAGTGGGGATGATGTTCTAGTTGCTGGTGATGCAATAGTGAATAAAACCAAGTGTTTGCTCATGGTTCTAATAGGGATTGGATAAATGGCCTGTCTGTGGCTGGGCATATAACCACATAACTGGGGTGTCTCTTTTGCATGTGGAATGGGATATTTCTGTGTGGTGTCAGTGCAAGTGATTTCACAATTGTGTACCTCTGTGTGTTTGTAGGTAACTTCACGTGCTGTGTGTGGGTTCTCTGCTTCTGTGGGTATAAATGCAAGATCACACCAAGCAGGTGTTGGAGGACACATGTTTGTTCTGATCTTGCATTCCTGACTGAGGTGCCAGGGGTGTGCCTGTATTTGGGGTCTTGAGAACTCCTTTCTCCATCATATTAAAAAAATTTGTATTTATTTTAAAATTTACTTTTGGCGGTTCTGAGCCTTCGTTGTTATGAGCGCTTTTCTCTAGTTGCAGAGAGTGGGGGCTACTCTCCAGTGATGGTGCGTGGGCTTCTCTTGTTGTAGAGCACAGGCTCTAGGGCTCTTGGACTTCAGTAGTTGTAGTGCCCAGGTTCAGCTGCCCTGCCACATGTGGGATCTTCTTGGACCAGGGATCAAACCCATGGCTCAGGGTGAAGAATCTGTCTGCCAATGCAGCTGGCTGTAGTTTCTCCCTAATGGGAATGGTGGGCCCAGCGGCTTTAGGAGAAACACCAGGGTGAAAGGGAAGATGAGAAGAGACAGGTGAGACCTGGGCGGGGATGAGAAAGAACATGATGGGAAAGCAGGGAGAGATGGCGGATGGGGAATAGGAAGAGATGCACAAAGAGATGTGGATGTTTGTCCACCCATTCCATAAGCATTTGGTGAGCCCTTGCAATGTGCCAGGACCTCTGGCAGGCATTGGTTCAAGGCTTGGGGGAAAGTAGAGAGACCCAGAGGGATGAAGACCCACTAGGAAAGCTTTTGGTGCCCCACCTGTGTCCAGAGTGGGCCTCAGTGACAGTTCTGAGTGATGGGGATCCAGCGATGGGGAAGGACAGAGAGGGACCTGCCCTTCTCCAATCCTCCCTGAGGCTGATCTGGGCAGATCAAAGAACACAGGCTGGGGGGCCAGGGGGCCAGGGGAGGGGGAGGATTCTCCCAGACCAGGGACATCCCAGGAATCATTTTTGTCATCTCCTAATAGGATAATGACACACGACACACCCATACCGTCCTAATCCATATTTTCAACCCCAATCAGGCCCAACACCCATAGTGAGAGGCCTGGTATCTGTGAGTTAAGGAGGAAATACCTGGAAGTCCCCATCCCTCATCTTTCCTCCTCCAGACCCCAGGAGTCCCAGGCCCCAAACCCCCACCCCCACCCCCCGGGAGTCCCAGCTCTGTCTCTCTTTTTTCACTGTGTACCTTTCCCTCGCTCTCTGGGCCTGTCATTATCTGTTTGTCTTCTTTATCCCCTGTTTACCCTTCCCTCTCTCGGGGCCTGTCCGTCATTATCTGTCTCCATCTGTGCTTTGTGTTTCTCCTGTCTCTTTACATCTGGATCTTGATTCTCTCTCGATGGGCCTCAATTTTCTCACCTGTCAAGTGGGAATAATAATAATCCGGTCACTTAGAGCTCTTAAGAGGAAGACATGAGATAATTATGTAAAATGCTTAGCACAGAACCTGGGCCACAGTAAATTCCATACAAGTGAACTCTATTGTGGTTATTTTCAGTATTTTAATCTCTCAGTTGCTATCTATGTTTTTCTCTTGGTTTCCACATGAGTCTCAAGTCTTCTTCTGTTCTGGATTTTTTCTGCACACAGCAGCCGCCCCTGGCTTCCCTTTCAGGGATGAAGTAAAGGGCAGTATCGAGGCCAAAGCTTCACCTAAGCCTTTTTCCTATTCATCTTTAGTCTAAGCCCCACCTCAGGAACTCAGAACTCTGGCTCCAATACAATACGTAGCCACAAAAACCCCTGAACCCCAAATCTGTGATCCTTGGGCAGGCCAGTGACCCTTGGGATCCAGAAGTCCCCGAATCTGGAGCACGATTCTTCAGGGTCCCAGTTCCCCTCTTCCTCAAGATCCAGGAATCCGGACGCTCAGCCTCTTCCTCCCTCAGACTCAGAAGTCTAGGCCCCTCAGTTTGTCCTTCTCAGGACCAAGAAGTTCGGACTCTCATCCTCTCTCAAGACAGGATCAGGCGGTCGAGCGGTCCAGCTCTACCTGCAGCCCAATACCTCACTCAAGATCCTTCTGCAGTCCCCCACGCGCTCAGCAAGCTCCCGAGTCTGTCTTTTTTAGAGCCGTGTCTGACACCGGAGCCCGCCTCCGAAATCGAGCTGTGATAAGCTATCCGTGACGTCAGTCACCAGTTTCCAGCCAATAGACACTCCGCCCCTAACTCCCTGGGCCACTCAGGACAGGGCGCATTCCCTAGTAGGCGGGGTCCACAGCCCAAGGAGGACCGAGATAGAGCGGTATCGGCAGATTCAGCCAGGCAGTCAAAAGTCTAGGTCTTTGCCGGTTGGTGTGTGTGTGTGGGGTCTGCTTCGTAGACGCTGGAGAGGCTCTTGAACGGACAGGTTCTGCGAGTCTGGCCTGGTAAGCCCTTCACAGCACACCCAGAATTGGGATTCTGGACACAGCTCGGGCGGGAAACGGTGAGATTTTGTTGAGGCTGGAGGCGGAGCGGGGAGCTGGATGCACAATCTCAGAAATTCCTCCATCCCTTCCCTTCACCAGCTACTAAACTCACCCGTGCGTTCAGTCCTTCCTGCCCTCATTTAAGTACCTCATTCACTGATTTCCTCATATGGCGACTCACTCGCACTCGCTCATTCACACACTCACCCACCCAGTACTTAGATTTCCTGAGGCTTCCAGTGTGCTAAGCCTCCTGCTGGGCAATGGTGATGATCAAGATGAGTCAGGCCTGGGCCCTGCCCTTAAGGAGCCCAGGTCAGACGGGAGGACAGATCCATATATTGACGTGCAGGGGTGTGCAGAGGCAGGGGAGTCCAAGAGAGTCCTTTTTGAGTTTAGTGGGCCAGGAAAGGATTTCCAGGGGAGGGAACCTCCCTCTCCTGACTCCTCCCACCTCTTGGATTGTCTCATGAAGGCTTCTTTTTTAATTGATGAATAGTTGATTTACAATGTTAATTTCTGCTGTAGAGCAAACTGATTCAGTTACATATATATATAATATTCCACATTGGGGTATAACAAAACACACAAAATAGAGCTCTCTGATACACAACAACAGCCCAAAACATTTGGCACAACAGAGAGGGGTTACAGGAGACACAGTTTCCACAGAATGGGGGACAGGGGATGATTTCAGGATGAGTCAAGCCCATTACATTTATTGTGCACTTTATTTCACTTACTGTTACATCAGCTTCACCTCAGATCATCAGGCATTAGCTCCCAGAGGTTGGGGACCCCTGCTGTACAGGAAGACCTTGTTGTTTATCCATTCCATATATAATAGCTTACATCTGCTGACCCCAACCACCCACTCCATTCCTCCCCCAAACTCCTCTCGATTGGCAACCCCAAGTCTATTCTGTATGTCTGTGAGTCTGTCTCTGTTGATGAAGACCTTTTGATTTGTGTGCAAAACCACCCTCACTACCTCACCTATCTCACACACCCCTGAACCTCCTCCCAGCAGAAAAGTCTCACTGTCCACCTGCTCCCCTGTCCAGGATGATGTCCTCTCCATCCCCTTGCTCACCTGTAACCTCTGCTCCACCCTCAGTAAGTCCTCTTTATCCAACCTCAGTAATGGCTCTGGGAGCTGCTCCACCCCGACTTCTGCTCCCCACCTTCATTGTTTCTGCCCCAGCTCAGGGCTTGTCATCCCTGTCCGCAGCCTCCTCTCTTGCCTCCAGGGCTCTAGTCTTGCCTTCAGTCCACCCCCGTTTCCCAGTAGACTCTTTCAGTGCCTGAGCTGATCCTGTCCCTCCCTTGCTCAAAGCCCTTCTATGGCTCCCGCTGCCCTTCATTTATAGTCCAAATTGCATTCCAGCTCCTTCAGGATCTCTTGCTGACCAGTCTAGGCCCCTCAGACCACTCCCCACTTTGCATCTGAACTTCTGGTCAGGCAGAAGCCTTGACCACTGACTCTCTCAACCTTGCCTATTTCTTCTTTTTTGCTCTTTCTTGGATCTCCTCCTCTGTAAAGGACTCCCTGGCTACCACAGATAGAACCGGTGGGGACTGTGACAGCCTGTGTCTGGGTCTCTCCCCACACTCTCTGAGTGTGGAAATTTGAAGGCTAGCCCTGGAAGGAAATCTCCAAACCCAGGGCCTACTGAGGGTGAGGGCTTGAGTGGCTGTCACAGCTGGGCAGAGCTTGGGTCCCAATTTTTGAGTGATCAGTTTGTTTCTGATTTCCTGTTAGCTTTGTTCCAGTTCTCTAGGGACTTCGGGTTTTCTTTTCCGGGTTGGTGCTGGGGCTAGGTTTGTAAAGAGGAGTAGCTGAGATGCCTGCTTCTGGCACTGTACCTGGATTAGTTCTGAGGAGGGGGTGGGTCTGTGTTAGTAGGGGGGCTCCTGCCCTTCCACACTCAAGAATCCAGGCCTGCACACCCCTTCTTTCTCAGGACCCAGGTGTTGGGCTCCCAGCCTTCTGTCGGCTCGCCAGTGCCAAGTTCTCGGGCTTCTTATGCTGCCCCCTGGTGGGCAACCCCCGTCCCCACTCTATTTGCCTATTGTTTAATTGCTAGGTCCTGACTCCTTTGCGACGCTATGGGCTGCAGCCCGCCAGGCTCCTCTGTCTGTGGGATTCTCCAGGCAAGAATACTGGAGTGGGTTGCCGTTTCCTTCTCCAGGGGATCTTCCCAAACCAGGGGTCGAACCCGAGTCCCTTAAGTCTCTTGCTTTGGCAGGATTCTTTACCACTGAGCCACCAGGGAAGCCTGTCTATTTGCCAGAGGCCAAACTAATTAAATACTTTTATTTACAAAACACAAACAAAGCAAATCGATCTGCAAGGTCGGGGCAGGCCCGCCCCTGCAGTGGTCACAGCAGCAATAGAAGGCAGTGATCCCGTGCAAGTCCGGCTGTCTCTGAGACTGGTTTGTGTGCGCCCTCCTCCCCCAGGCCAGGGTCTTAGCTTTGGGGAGGGGCCCCCCCGCCCGACTCCCCCCATGCCGTTCCCCCCACTTAAGGCACAGCCCGCCCCCTTCCACCCAGCCCGAGAGAGGGCCTGGATGGCCGGGGAGCCCCGGGGCCGGGGTCCCCGCTGCCCTTCCCGAGGCGCGTTCACCACGGAGTCCTGCGCAGATGGGTACAAGCGGCCTTTAGTGTCGCCCCCCCGCGACCCCCTTCTCCCCGCGGGGCCTGGCTCCGTGCCCGGCTCAGACCGGCGGGCCTGGCAGATTGAGGACGAGGCGGATGCGCTCCACGCACAGCGCAGCGGCCTGCCGCGTCTCCTGGCACAGCGCCGCCAGGCTCAGGAAGCCGTGCGGCAGGTCCTCCACCACGCGCAGCGTCACGGGCTGGCCCAGGCCGCGGAGCCGCCGCGCGAACATGACCGAGTCGTCCAGCATGGGGTCCAGCGCACAGGCCTGCGGGGGCGGGGCAGGGAAATGCGCGGAGGCCGGAGGACAGAGGCAGGAGACACAGGGATGGGGGCGGAGAATCGGAGAATGAGAGAATGAGTCTGACTGGCCTCTGCCTGGCTTCTCCCTGCCCCCAGAGACCCACTCTCTCTTTGCCCCTTCCCCGACTCTCCAAGCCCAGCGCCTGCCCTGCGATCTCAACAGGATTGCAAAAGCAAACTGGCAACTCTGACCCCCTCAATCCACTCGTTGCCAGGCCTCCCCTCCTGCTGGCACCCCCTCCCTGCGGCCACGCTTTCTCCCTTTCCCCCCACTCGGCTCCCCGGGAGCTCCTTTCCCCAGGCGCCCCAGGCCCCCACCCGTCCCCCTCCTCGCCTGCTCCACCTTCCTGGCCTGGCGCTCACCACGATGTGCACAGGTGGCAGGGTCTGCAGCATGCTGTCGGGGGCCAGCAGAGGTGACATGAAGGGATTCTTGACGATGGGGGCCGAGTAGAGGGGCATCCACATGGCACCCTGGCTGCAGCGCCGCGGGTGGAAGCCCTCGGGGAAGGCCGCGCCCACACCTCGAACTCGGTCCTTGTTGCTCAGCTCCTCTGGGGCCTCAGACACTTCAGATCTATCCTCAGACCCAAGTAAGAAGTTGACGGTTGAGGGTGTGGAGGTGCGGAGTGTCTCCGCCGACAGTGACAGCTCCGGGGCGTCTGGTGTCTCGCAGCTGCTCCTGAGGCTCAGGTCATGCAGCTTCAGGCCCTTGAGGGAGTCCGTTCCCAGTGGGCCCTCCGGCTGGGTCAGGGCTGCTTCAGACACACTGCGCCGCATTGGCTCTGCGAGAGGAGCAAGGTGAGGGGACCGGCCAGGCCTGCAGCTGAGCCTGGCTCTGTGGGTCGGGTGTGTGGGTGGCTGGCGGGGAAGTCCACCTCAGGAGCAGAGGCCGGTGGGGGAACTGCTCCCTAGGGCTGTAGACTAGACTACAGGGTGCCCCAGGCTGCAGTTCCAAGGGGGCGGTGGAAGGAGGCCCCTGTCTTGGAGGTGAGGCTGTGTCCTAATGGAGGGGTGTGTGTGTGACTGGGAACATGAAATGCCAGTCAGTTTACCTCTGGGAGCCTGTTTCCTCTTCTGAACAAAGGGGATAAAAATAGTCCTTACCTCAGAGGAGGCGGTGGGAACTCAGTGGGATTGATAAGATTTGGGATTAGGTACTACTACCCCTGGGGAGGCTTCCCAGGTGGTGCTAGTAAAGAATCCGCCTGTCAATGCAGGAGGCGTGGTGTCCATCCCTGGGTTGGGACTATCTCCTGGAGTAGGAAATGGCAGCCCACTCCAGTATTCTTGCATGGAAAATTCCATGGACACAGGAGCCTGGAGGGCTGTGGTCCATGAGGCCACAGAGAGTCAGACATGTCTGAGCAATTGAGCACAGAACACATCCCTGGGAGGTCATTATATATATCTATATATTATTTTTTTAAATTCTTAACTTATTTTTAATTGAAGGATAATTGCTCTACAGAATTGTGTTGGTTTCTGCCAAACACCTTGTAATGTTTTATTACCAGGTACCTTGTTTTAGCTGCCTCCTTAGCCCCCATCATGGGGCTGTCAGCTTTTCCTAGTCACCTGAGACAGAGAGTATGAACGGATCAAAGTGGAATGGTGAGCAGGCCCACATGGCTTGAAAGGAGGCTCTGTTCACAGGGTGTTAAAAAGAACTTGAGGACATATCAAGACTTCCAGAGACACCCACAGCTTTAGCTATGTAAATCTGCTCCCCGAAATTCCTTCCTGTTCTTTACCTCATTCTGTCCCTTTGTTTTGTTTTTTGGCTGAGCTATGAAGCACGTGGGATCTTAGTTCCCTGACCAAGGATCGAACTCAGGCCCCCTGCACTGGGAGCATGGCGTCTTAGCCACTGGACCACCAGGGAAGTCCCCATCCCCTCCCTTTGAATGACCAGACAAGCTAGTGCCCAACTGATGCTAAAGGTGCACTTCAGGCTTGCCTGGTGGGCCCACTGTGGTCTCAGCTCCCCTGATTTGATCAGGACCATTCTGCTTATCACTACTGCCAGGACCTTACATTTTTCAGATTTTCTCTTTTTTTAGTTTTTCTTTTTTTTTCTTTCACTTGCCTTTATAAATCCATGAAGGCAAAATGTAGGATGATACAAAAATAACTGCTTAGGTGCCCTGTGGCCCAGAGGGCCAATGGAACCAAGCTGTTGACTAGAGTCACAGACACAGCCAATCAGGGTGCTGGCATCTTCTAAGCGCACCTACTGTGTTTTAGGTACAAGGCACAAAACAGCACCTACTGTGCACCTATTGTGCTTGACACAAATAGGTAGGCAGTCCTTACAGCAACAGAATAAGGTAGGTATTCTTACTGTTCCCGTTTCCCCCAGAGGGGCAAAGCTAGGCTCACAGATACTGCAACTTGCCTGGTATAGTACCTGGTACTGTAGGGAGCTCGACTGGCTTGTGTGCCTCTAGGGTCTGCTCTTGTCACCTTTCTCCTACAAGGAAAGCCCCAGTGCCAAATGGTCCATGTGTCTAAAATTCAAATCCTTTTTCATTGCTTTTGAATGTATGTGCTTAGTTGAGTCCTACTTTTGCCACCCCATGGACTCTGGCCCATCAGGCTCCTCTGTCCATGGCATTTCCCAGACAAGAATACTGGAATGGGTTGCCATTTCCTTCTGCAGGGGATTTCCCCACCCAGGGATTGAAACAGTTTCTTGAGTCTCCTGCATATGCAGGCAGATTCTTTAGCAGCTGTGCCACCTGTTTTTGGGTGTATTTATTTGTGTTGGTTGGAATATCCTAATATTAAAAATTGAGCTGAAAATAAAGCATATTCAATTGGAATAATTTTCTGAATAACAGGAACTGTATCTCCTTTTTCTCTTGGCCCATGGCTTGTGGGATCCTAGTTCCCTGACCAGGGATTGAACCTGTGTTCTCGGCCGTGAAAGCGCTGAGTCCTAACCACTGGACTGCCAAGGAAGTCCCTGGGAATGGTATCTACTTTTGAAAATGCAATTTCTATTACCCAGAAAATACTGTTGATTTATTAGAGATAGAAAGTAATTTGAGGTGGCTGTGCTTTAAAAATCCTTAAAATGTTAGGAAATGGGAAACAATGGATCCCTGGATGGAAGTGATTTTGGCAGCCTGAGGGTCTTCCCACCTACCCAGGATGGGGATTTCCTCCACTTACTGATGTCTCTGCCACTTTCTGATCTCCCTGCGTGCCTCTGTTAAAAGTCAGGAAAGAATCTAGGAGGGCTGAACTTCCACCTGAGGGCCCAGGGAATTTCGGTGGACTGGATTCTTGGGACTGAAAATCAGGACACACAGCTGGCCTTCTGAGTCATTCCTTAGGGTGCCTTTCTGGGAGGGGGTATTTGGAAAGCTAAATCTTATAGTTCCTGGGATTCTGAGCTGACCCGTGTGATCAGAAGTTCTGGAATTTCTAGAATGTGGACAAAGGTTTTATGGCAGGGAGCCAGGAAGGTGATCTCCGCTTCCCTGAGTGCCCAGGGCCCAGCCCCTTGCCTCCCCCAGGACTTCTGGTGCCAGGCTGTCGTTCCTGGACATGCTGGATGGGTATGTGAGGGAAAGGCGCCACTCACCAGTCTTGGACACCAATTTCAGGTGGGACTTTTGCCCGCCCAGCTCCAAGAAGGCGTTGAGCCACGAGGAGGCTCCCAGGCGGAGGTCTCGGAAGAGCAGGGCCGTGTCCCGCTGCATGAGCCCCATCATGCCCAGCGCCTTCTGGTTTGAGTCGGGGTGGTCCTCAGTCTTCTCACCTGTGAGTGGATGTGTGTGTGTGGGAGGTGAGTAGGTCTCCTCTCTTTCTGGGCCCAGTCTCAACACACACACCCTCAGGCACCTCTGCCCTCAGGGACCCAGACTGTCTGACCGCTCCAGCAGGAACAGGGAGTCTCAGATTCCTCCTCTTTGTACCCAACGAGACAGGGCTCTAGTCTCTGCCCCCGAAGGAGCCAGGGCCCCAGTTGTGTGCGCATGGGACTAACCGGCATAGGCGCTGACGCACTTGGAGAGCACGCTGAGAGGCAGCAGGGGGTCCATGAGGCTCAGCAGGCGGGAAGGAGAGGCGGTGGACTGCAGCATGGTGGCCGGGTAGGCTGCCATGATTCCATCTGGCACCCGCACCCCGTAGGCTGCTGCCCGAAGGGACACGGTGAAGCAGAGGTTCCCACCGGCGCTGTCTCCGGCGAGGCATATCCGCTCACCTGTTGAGCCTGGTGTGGAGGGGGCTTGGTCAAGCCTGGCAGGGAGGAGCTGGAGCTCTAGGCTCTTGGAGGTCGGGTGTGGGGGTCTGGCCCACTGCCATTTTAAAGACTGGGAAACTAAGGCAGGGATCTGGACCCATTTGGGGGATAGTGGGCAGAGGATCAGGCAGGCTGAGGACACGGAGAGGTCTGGAGATCAGGAAGCTGTGGGGAAGCTTGGGGGTCTGGGGGTCAGGAGCAAGGAGGAAGGGTGCTGAGAGAGGGGAGACCCAGCGCCCATGTCAGGAGGGAGGGGCGGCAAGGCCAGAAGATGGCAGCCCTGTGCCCCGCGGCATGACCTCATCCTGCTCTGTGCTTCCCGGGCCATGTGGGGAGCAGGAGGGCGGAGGAGCTGGAAGAATGGGCTGGAGCCCGGCCGGGTGGCCGCCAGCAAGGGACAGCAGTGGGTAGAGAAACAGGAGGGAAGGAAAGGTCAGAGGTCAGGGGGCAGTGGGGGATGGAGCATTAGGGCTAGAGTCGGGGGAAGCAGGAAGAGGAACTGGTTGAGTGGAGGGTGGGAGCCCGGGGGCAACGGAGGCAGAGCTGGAGGAGGGGGCGGGGGACACAATGGGCAGGTGGCAGAGGCTGGGTGGTGGGAGGTGGACGGGGAGGCAGGGTGTCAAGACTGAGGCTCCAGTGCCTCGTGGCTCTTTGCCCCTGCTGTGCCGGGTGGGGGCTGAGGCAGGATGGGAAGGGGGCTCACCCAGGAGGGCACAGTGCTTGACGGCCCAGCAGTAGGCATAGAAGCACTCTTCGAGCGCCCGGGGGAAGGGGGCCTCGGGGGCCAGGGAGTAGTCGATGGAGAGGATGGGGGCGCCCAGCTCCTGGGCCCAGCTCTTGAGGTAAGGCTCGTGGGACTTGGAGGTCTGGGCCACGAAGCCGCCGCCGTGGATGTGCACCACCAGGGCCCTGGAGCGGGGTGCCTGCTGGGGGCGCAGCCGCAGCTCCAGGCTCCTGGGGCCCTCGGACCTGATGAAGCCGCTGAGCTCCTTGCTGTCCTGGGGGAGAGGAAGAAGGAGGTGGTGGGTCATGGGGCGGGGGTGGCCTGCCTGGGCCTCACTCCTCCGAGAGGACGTGCTCCGAGAGATGGGAGAGGGGGCAGGTGTGAGCTGTGAGGCGGGAGGTGGGGAAGGCGCTCCCACCGTGCTCCTAGCTCTGTGCCTGTTCTGGCAGAGCCGGGGCCCTACCTGTCCTTCCCGCAGGTCATAGGAGATGAGCCTCACGAAGACGGGCCCGGGGCCTGTGTGGGCCAGTGGGGGTGAGATGGTGACCGTGAGCTCGGGGTCCGAGGTCAGAGGCATTTCAAAGGCGATGGGCGGCAGGCTGAGCAGGCGGCTTACCCTCACGGTGGTCGAGGCCATGTTTGCTAGAGACTGGGTCGGGGGTAACAGGAGGAGCTGCAGCGTTCCCTCTCACGCCTCCCCTCTGACCTCCCCGCCCGTCTCTTCCCTCCTGTGCCCTCCCTGGGCCTGGGACGTGTCTCTGGGTCCCATCATGCCCCCATCGCTGGTCCCCAGGCTCACCGATAGCACCTGGATCTCGGTGATATTCCAGAAGGCTTTCCAGAAGTGCACGTCCAGGTTCTGAATGATCCGCTCAAACTCGGCCCCACGCAGCTCGGGGTCGATGGCAAAGCGGCCGCCAGTGAAGAGGGAGCTGGCGGTCACACCTGGAGTTTGGGAGGGGTGTCAGGGAGCCCTTGGTGGCCTTGCTGGGGCCCTGGTGTGGGGGAGGGACAGGAAGGGTGGGGGTGACTGTGGGCAGGGCCCTGCAGGGACTCACTGATGCCGGTCTCGTTGCGTTTGTAGTGCTCCCCGAAGGACACCAGTCCGATGGAGATGGTCTGCAGGAACGGCCGGATGGCGGGCGTGAACTGTGGGGAGAGGCCTCCGAGTCAGGGAGCAGGGGCGGGCAGGGGAGTCGGGGGGAGACAAGGTGGGTAGAGGCGGTCACTCGGCAAATGTCCAGTGAGCTCTGACTATGTGTTAGGCACTGTGCTAGGCACCTCACGGAGCTGATGTTGTTGAAAAGACAGACAATACTCAAATGAAGACATGCCGTACAATGTCAAGGAATGACCAGTGTCTGAAAGGACAGTCGGTGGAGGGACAGAGTGTTGATGAAGGGTCCGACTCTGTTTATGGGTCTCCCCGAGGGACTCAAGGAGGGATGACTGGGCCCCGAGGAGAACAGGACACAGGCAGAGGCCTTGAGGGGCGTCCTCGCTTGGCGTGGATGATGAGTGTGGTGGGAACAGAGAGGCCAGGAGAGGGGGCGGGGGTGGGGTGAGATCCAAGGGGCAGCGGGGGGCTCATGTGGGGCCTGAGGACTTGGGTTTGTTCTAGATGTGATGGAGCCACAGAGGGTTGTGAGCTGGGAGAAGGATGGTGTGGGGGACCCTGAAACTCAGCAAGGACCGAGATGGGGGGATACAGGCCGTGGGGACCACGGGGCAGTGGGGAGAGATAAACAGGAGAGCTCAGGGATCCTGAGGCAGAGAGAGTCAAACAGGGAGGCAGAGACCCCGCATCTGAGAGAGGAGCCAGGCAACTGAGAAAAGACAATAGAGACACCAGATCAGGGGGAAAAATCCAAGCCACAGGAGGCTGGGCCAGGGGCCAGCACGGTTCTTCTGTTCATTCAGCAAGTCCTAGCCCGGGTCCTCCGGCGTGCCAGGCACTGGGCTAGAGCGGAGGCTGAGCGAGACCTGGAAATCAGGGACGTCTGCCCCCAGGGGCTGACATTTTACACGGGGAGGCTGTCCTGCAATGTGACCTAGCTGGGCCAGGAGAGAGTAGCTGTCAGGCATGGCTCTGCCCCTGGTCGGGGGCCCAGTGGGCCAGAGAGCACAGCGGTGCCTGACTTTCGGGACTGGAATGCAGCTTGGGGGTCCCCAGGCTCTTACTCCCGAGCTTTGTGGGCATGGCCGGGACCCAGGGAGGAGCCGGCTGGCCCAGCTGGGCTGATCAATATTTGGGGGTTGAGTTTAGATGAGGGGAAGTTCCCAGGAACACCTGGGCTGGGCTGGTGAGGACAGGCTGCCCCACGTGAAAGCAGAGATGGGATGGAGGCTGGGACAGTTTCCACACCCCACTACCTGGGGGAAGACCAGAGAGGGGCTCACACGGCTCCAGATACTCCTGCTGGGGTTCCCAGGTGTGGGTAGGGATGGGTGGGCCCAGCACAGACCCCGGACGGGGGCAGACTGTGCCTCAGCTCTGAGCTTGGTGCCCTACAGACTTCCTAATTCTCTGAGTCCCCAGACTACTCTTCCTGGGAGTCTGAAGGCCTTGGGGCTGTCTCCCTCCCAGTGCTGAAATGAGCTGTGTTCCTGTGATGGTAATTTCAGGGTGGGGGCAGAGGATAGGAGAAGGCCTGCAGCTGGGGTTCAGAAAGAACCTCCCTGGTTCAGGGAGGAGAGGGGCCATGACCAGGTCTTCCTTGTGGTCATCAACGTGGATATGCTTGCTGGTTTTCTCTGCAGCCTGAAAATCCAGATTCTACTGTGCCTTAGGGGAGTCGATATGTTCCGGTTGATCTGGGTCCAGCTGAGAAGCTGGGGGCCCCTCCCCTGAGCCCCTGTAAAACGGGGCCGGCACCTGTCCTCCCTGCCTGCCAAGCCTCTGGTGGGGATGACTAAGTGGGGCTGTTACAAACAGGCCTTGATGCTCTTACGAACAACACTGGCTACGATCCTAGGGGCTCTCAAATAAATTCAGGGGCCAGACAGGTCACGTAAGAAAGTAAATGAAGCTCCTGAGTGCAGGGTGATGGGGAGCAGTGGGGATCCTGATGTAGGAAAGCTATGTCCAGTTGAAGATTCCTTCCTCCACAGTGGAGTCGGTAAAGGGGCCACAAGTATGAGACCCTCGCTCTGTGCAGTATGAGCCCCTACCAGCTTCCCCTTACTGCATCTGCCGTTTGCTCAGCCAAGCACCACACCACACCGCTGTGCTTCCTCTGTATGCTACTAGGGCTTCCCTGGTGGCCTAGTGGTAAAGTATGTGCCTATCAATGCAGGTGACGTGGGTTCAATCCCTGAGTCTGGAAGGTCCCCTGGAGAAGGGAGTAGCAACCCACTCCAGTATTCTTGCCTGGGGAAATCCCACAGACAGAGAAGCCCATGGGCTACAGCCCATGGGGTCACAAGAGTCGGACACGACTGAGTGACTGCGCACGCATATGCGACTGAGCCTGGTTGGGCCCACCATGTGCCTTTGCCATGGGCCCCGGGGGGGCAGGCGGGGGTTGGGGGGCTCACCTGGAAACCCAGGCAGCGGCCGTAGAAGCAGCCTTTGTGCAGCGTGACGTACTCTCGTAGGAAGTCGGCAATGACCCTCTCGTCACCCTCAAAGAAGAGCCTCCCGGGCTGGTTGGTGGTCAGCAGGCGCTGGGCATAGTAAGCCAGAGCACGGAGCTGGGTGATGGCGGCCAGGTAGGCCTCGAGTTCGGCCAGGTTGTGGCTGGTGCGAAAGAAGATGCTGCGGCGATTGGAGGCCACGTAGCGCGATTTGTGCAGCAGGTGCGCCAGGCAGCAGCGGGCCGTGTGCACCAGGCTTCGGTACCCGTTGGCTGGCGTCTCTGTGTCCAGGTCAAAGAGGTGTGCCACGCTCAGCAGGCGGCCCAGGGTCGGCTCCAGCCCCAGGGCCTGCTCCCGAATGCCCGCAAAGACTCCCGTCAGCCGCCGGGCGGTCTCCCCGGGGCCCTGGCTGGAGAAGAAGGCCATGTTGTCCTCAGCCAGGGTCACCAGAGACTGTGTCATGGTGCGCAGGTCCATCCTCTGCAAGAGCCGTGAGGCTGCGGGCAGGTTGGGAGGCACATTAAGGTAGGGCTGGGTCACCCCTGGCTCCACTGGGCCCCAGTGCCCCAGAGTCCAGGCTGTACCCCCTCCTCCCCCTGACTCACGTCAGACCACAGTCTGCTCCTTCCGATGGGAGGATGGAGTCCAGGGCTCCAGTTCCTTGCTTCCTTGGGACCCATGAGTCCAGTACCCAGACCCTTTCTCCCTCCTCAGGAACTGAGTTTGATTCCTCAGCCCCTACCTTCCCGAGACCCAGGAGTCCAGGCCCCCGCACCCTCTTCTTCAGGCTGCAGGTCCCTGTTCCCTCTTCCTTGGGATGCTGACTGACTCCTTAGCTCCAGCATCTGTCCTACAGCCCAGGAGTGTACGTAACTCTGTTTCTCCTTTCTTGGGGCCCACGTTCAGGCATCTGTCTCCATTTTCTCTCCCGGAGCCTGGGACTCCTTCCAGGTTCTGAGCAGCCTGGCCCTCTAGTTGGTCCCCTCTCTCAAGACCAGGAGTTTCAGCCCCCATCTTACCTCCTTCTCAGGCCCCAAGTTTCACCTACAGGCCCTTGCCCTCTGCAGTATTTGGGAGACTTCTGCCCTCAGCCCACCGATTCCCATCCACCTGGTGGTATCCCAAGATCCTGGTCCCAAGCCTAATTCTTTTCCTGAACCCAGGAGTTCATAATTCTAGCCTTCCCTGCAACCAAGGGGTCCCTCCTGCCCCCTCCTGGTCCCTCCAGTCTGGCTGTGGAATCCCCTCTAACCCCCTCTCTCTTCCCACCCTTGGTCCCACTCCTCCCCCAGCTGGGTCCCTGGCCTTCAGGCCTGTCCACTTGGCTTAGCTTTGCATGGGTCGGCCTTGCTCCCTGCCTGCGGTGGTATTCATCCCTGTTGTTAACCTTGAACTCACTGTGCCATACCCAGTGCTAAGAGCTTTCTCAGTTTGCTCCTTTAGGTTCTCACTAACCCTCTGAGGTCCAGACTGCCTTGGTTCCTGTTGCAGCTGTTATTCGGAGCATTCCCATTTTACAGGAGAGGAAACGCAGGCTCAGAGGTGTTAAGTAAGGCGTTGACAGTTGCATTGAAAAGCGGCAGAGCAGAAATCAGACCCAGATCTCTGGGTCCAGAGCTGTTACTTTTGCTGGTCTCCGTCCCAGAGCCCTGAGACTGGGCCTGTAGCCCTGGCCCCCCAAAAACCTGCCCTGGACTTGGCCTGACTCCCCACACTTCAGGGTCCCTGGTTAATCTTCCTTTCCAGACCACTGTCCTGTCACCCAGGTCCTGGACAAGCAGTTCTTGTCCCCCCTCGGTGGGGACGCTGCCCTCTGCTTCAGAGACGTTTCCCTCCTGAAGCCCACCCAGCACCTTGCCTGCCTCCCAAGTCGATGGTTCCCTGATCCTCCAGAAGAAGGTGTCTCTTTTCCCCTTCCGGGGCCCGGGGGTTTGGCAGCGGCCATTCCTGTCTGTCAGCTGGTTGTGAACTCACCCCTCCCAAGCCTCTTCAGAGCTCCCCAGGGCTGCTGACCGACTGCTGACTGTGGCTACTGCCAGTTGCAGCCTGGGGTGACAATCCCAGGGAGGGGCCCAGCCTGCCCAGGGTGTGGTCACCGGCTCCACCTCCTACCCTGATAGGACGGTGAGAATCCAGCGCAGGAAACGGAGCCTGGGGCTCAACTCACTGCTCCCAGTCCCCGTGCCAGCCTCCTGTGCCTTTGAACCCTGGAGTTTGGGCCCCCAAGACCCTCCTCCTTCGGTTCCAGGAGTCCAGACTCTTAGTCCCCTCAGCAATTAGAAATGGAGGCATCCAGGTCTACTCTCCCCTCCTCCCATAGGCCCAGGAGGCTCACCCTAGTCCTGAACAAAGTGTCCCCTCCCACCCAGCCTGGCTGCCCTCCTTCCCTGGGGGGATTCAGAGAGCAAAACACACGGGGTTGATGGCAGTTCCTGCCCGCCCAGGCTGGCCGTGGCACAGCTGGCCCCGGCTGGTGGGGAGAGAGAGGAGAACCAGCCTTGCTTGTCCCTCCCAGGAGGATAAAAGCTGATCAAGGGCAGGGCCAAGCCCAGCCAGGGGCCCACGCCACAGGTCCTACTGTGTGGTGTTCCCATACTGGGCACCCTGCAACCTGCCACTGGCCTTCCAGGCCATCATCCTGCAGTGACTGTCACTTCCACCTCACAGACAGAGCAATGGAAGCTCAGGGACACCTCACCTGTGTTATTCCATGTGCTCCTGGCCTGGCCAGATCACCCTCGCCCTCAGCTTCCCCCCTCCTCCAGGAGGTGGTCCCTAAGGGTGCCTCCCCATCTAAGATGCGCCCCTCCCACTGCTTTCTGTCATCATATTTTAAGTTCTTCTTCTTCCTAGGATTTTCCACCTTGGCAGTTTTCCATTTATCTGTTTACATGTTTTTTGTTTGTCTCCCCCAGGGGCAGAACCCGGCTTCATGGAGCTTTGAAGCTTTTCCAAGTGGAGGTGGGGTTCTTTAGGAAAAAGGAGAGACAATCACAAGTGCTGAATTAGGTACAGGGCTTGGGAAGGGGCCTGTGCAAATGAGGGTATTCTTTGCTTGGCTGTAGGTGAGTCCGCCTCTGGCCCTCTGCCTGGAATGGCATCCCCCTGGGGGCATGGGGTGGCACATAGCAGGTGCTCAGCAAAGATTTGAAGAAGGAAGGAAAGGGAAGAGTCAGAGTGGAGGCAGGCAGGACTGGGTGGGAGTCCAGAGGACCACCCCTCCCCAGGGAAACAAACAGATGTACAGATAGAGGCCTCTGGAGACAGCTCGCAGCTTTGTGACTGGCCTAAGCCACTGGCTAGGTGGATTTCTTCGTCGTGGAAAGTGCACTTGGCCATCCTGCCCAGGGGGCTGGAAATGATCTTTGTACGGGACCCCACGGCAGCGTTTCTGCTTGTGGCTTGCTGTGTGTGGTTCTCACTGGCCTCACTGAGATTGGGTCCTTCTCCACCTGACGTGCTGGCCAGTTTACTGCGTGTGTTCTTTGCTTTCTCTGTCTGACACTAGATTATAGACTCCCTGTGGGCAAGGGCTTTGTTTAGTTCACTTGCACAGAGCTAGCGAGGTATTTATTGCATGGCTGTGCCTTCCTGTTCCGTAAAACAGCTGTCATTTACTTCCTGTCTCTGGGGCAGGGCTCCTGATTGAAGATGAGGGCACAGGAGCCCTGGACAGAAGAAGCAACTTGCACACAGCAGTGAGGAAGAGGCTGATCCCAGGCGCTGCCCTTTGCCCCGTTCCAGGCGGCTCCCTGGGGACTGGTGTGGGCGAAGCAGGGAGCAAAGGATATTGAGCTGAGGTTGCCAGAGTCATGCCAAGAATCTGATGCAGAGGGCACTGGGGCAGGGGCAGGCAGGCCCCCAGGGCCTTGGGTGAGGACTGGGCCAGAGGGAAGGGTAAGGGTCCTACTGCCTGGGCACCAGCCCTTTGCCCTAAAGAGTCACAGGACAAGTGGACCCGGCCTGGATTTTGGTCCCTGGGGACTGAGCAGGCAAGAGAAGGGCAGTGGGGAAGTAAGTGGGGGGAAGATGGAGGAAGGCCCAGGTCGGGGGCCTGGGAGGGGCAAGGCCTTCTGAAGGGGAGAGGCCTGGGGCCAAATGCAGGCCAGAGGGCCGTGATTACAGCCTGAGCTCCAAGTGTGTCTGCAATGGCAGAGCAGACGCTGCTCTATGACAGCCATGTGCTGGATACTGCTCTCTTCCTGGGTTCTACGTAAGGTAACTCAGGTAAATGCTTTCAGCCTCTCCATAGCTCACGAGGCAGGGACCATCAAGACCCCTTTAGGCAGATGAGAGAACTGAGAGACAGAGAGGTGACATACTGCCCAGGGTCACTGAGCCAGCAAAGATGGCGCAGCTCCTCTGCTGCGATCCTCTGTGTATCCGTGTTGTTCCTTCTCTCGTGTCTCAGCTTTGTGCCTTCTGGGCAGCCGAGTATGAGTAGGTCTTTGAGGTTCACCTGGATGTACATGCATGTGTAGGTTCCTGTCGTGCTTAGCGTTGGTCTGTGTGTGCGGGGGTGAGTGCGTTCAGTCCACAGTTTTTCTCAGTGTCTGTGTTTCTGTTTCTCAGGATGTCTGCAGGCATGTTTGTATGCATGTGTCACAGCCTATCTGATAGGGACAGAATAAAGGGACAAAGTAGGTGATTAAATAGTTAACTAGGGGATTGTAAGTAGAAAAATATGAGACCCCTGTAAGTTAATTACTCAAGAAAGCAGGTTTGCTTAACCATAAAACCAAGCAGGCTTGCTTAACAGCAAAACCATGCAACAGAAGCACGAGATATGACCCCAGATAGTAAAATGACGGTGGCATGAGACCCACAGCCTGTCCAGCGAGCTCAGTAAGTTAATGATTCCTAGGACACGCTGTCTGCACGTGTAAAAAACAGTAATTAGTGGACCCAGCTTGGCCCGAAGAGACAAGAAAACTCCCCTGCCCAACCTGGAGGGGGAGCTGATGATAGAAGCATGATGTTGACTCAAGAATGACAAAGAAGTCTCCCCCTCCCCACTTTTTCTTTGCTTACAAAACTGTAGCCCAGTAAGTTCTCAGGGTGCAGCATTTCTCACCCTCCTGCTTGTAAACCTCACAAGCATTCTATTCCAGTACATCACTTCTTATCTACCACTTTGCCTCTGGCTGAGTTCTTTTCTACACTGAGACCTAAAAGACTGTGGTACTGGAGCTGTTCAGTGTCTGAAATGACACCAAATGGTTTCATATCTGTATCCTCAGCCCCTGAAGGCTCTGTGTCTCTGTTCTTCTTGGCCTGTGAGGTTGTGCAGGCATGTTGTTTGTATGTATGTGTATGGACGTGTATCTTGGGGATGTGTGTGAGATCGTGCGGGCATGTTGTCTGTATGTGTATGGATGTATATCTTGGGAGTATGTGTGTGTGATTGTGTGGGCATGTTGTTTGTCTGTATGTGTATGGATGTGTATCTTGGTGTGTGTGAGATTGTGCGGGCATGTTGTCTGTATGTGTATGGACGTGTATCTTGGGGATGTGTGTGAGATTGTGTGGGCATGTTGTCTGTATGTGTATGGATGTGTATCTTGGGGGTATGTGTGTGTGATTGTGTGGGCATGTTGTTTGTCTGTATGTGTATGGATGTGTATCTTGGTGTGTGTGAGATTGTGCGGGCATGTTGTCTGTATGTGTATGGACGTGTATCTTGGGGATGTGTGTGAGATTGTGCGGGCATGTTGTCTGTATGTGTATGGATGTGTATCTTGGGGGTGTGTGTGTATGGTACCCCTCTCATCCCATTTGCTCCAGTTGGAACCCAGGGCATCATCATGGGCATCTCCCAGTCTTGTCTAACCCATCAGGAAGTCCTGTTGCCCCTGTCTTGCCTAGAAATCCCTGGAATGTGGCCTTTCTCCTACCTCCACTGCCCACTTCTCTAGATGACTGTAACAACTCTTTCTGTATCTCTGCTTTTGCCCCCTCCATCCCTTTCCCACAGAGTGGCCAGAAGGTCTTTCTAAAACTTAAATCTGGTCACTCACTCCCAACCTTTGAACACCCCACCCTTGCTCTCAGAATAAAGCCCCAAATCCTGGACACAGCATCCCAAACCACGTACCACGTGGGCCCTCTGGGTGCCTGGCCCTTCCCTTGCTGGGCTCCCTTCGTGCTGTGAGCTGCCTCTTCCTTGGGCCTCAGGGTTCTGCCTGTGTTGTCCTCGCCACCCTGTGTCCCTCCTGCCCAGCAGTCCATACTTGCTCATCTTTGAGTCCAGTGTCACGTGCTTGGGGAGCCTCTCTCTTATATGTTCTCTCTTCATCAGTTTGGCAGATGGGGAAACTGAGATAATTGGATAATCAGATAATTATATCTGATTTGTAGGGTTATTTATTAATGTCTGTGTCCCCGCCTCAGATGGTGTCTTATCCTCTACACTGAGGACCCAGGCCTGGCACAGGGAAGGGTTCATTGACTGTCTTTGCTGAACAAAAATGTGCGCCTGGAGCCTTTTGGGTCCAGAATCAAGGTTGAGGCACAGAGCAGTTTTGAGTGTACACACTCACTGTCCTTAGGAGCCTAGGGGTGGCCATCTCCTTGCCTTTACTGGCCAGGTGAGGAAGACCAGGTGCCCTCACTCCCTCAGAGTCTCAGTGTTGTCATCTGAAAAATGGGGTGATCATGACATTAGTGTCATCTGTTACTGGCAAGATCCAAAGGATGAGTAGGAGTGCTCCAGCCCACCTGGATGCCCTTGGGGTCTGATTGACTCAGGGGAGGCCTGCACCAGGGCAGGGCCTCAGGAAATGACAGGGAAATCCAGGGGCCCGGAGGAATGAGCCTTTGTGAGTAGGTGGGCCTGTGGGTTTGTGGGGAGGACTGGCTCAGCCCTGTGCGGGAGGCCCTATGCAAGAGGATTCTAACTCCTCACGACTCCCTAAAGGGCAGCATGATAATTATCCCCATGATACAGTTCATGCATGCCTTCACTTATTAAGTGAACATTTGAGTGTCCATGTGTCTGGCATACCAGGCTCTGCAATTGTGGGGTAAACAGGACTGACATAGCCCGCTCTCAGGGAACTCACAGTCTAGCTGGGGTGACTCCTGTCATTATGCCCATTTTATAGCTCAGAAAGTTGAGGCAGGGAGGGAGGGAGCCTCTGTCCAGTGTACCACCCCCTCACAGCTGAGGCACCAGGTCTCCAAGGCCCATTTCCCGATCACTGTCTTGCCTCTGGGCACTCTGTCCTGTCTGTGAAGCTGTGCCCTGCAGTGACAAGGAATGCCCTCAGGCCCCAGTGTGAGCTCTGAGCCTTCCTGTGTGCATCTGGAGCCAGCTCCACTTCTACCCTTGGCTACTAATGATGTCTGTGGCAGGGAGGGCGATGAGTCTCGGGTCTCTGGACTAAGTCAGGGCTAAGTCAGCTTCTTTCCTGCAGAGGAGATTCCCATAGGTCTTCACTTGGGCTGACAATCCTAATCCAGCAAGGACTTCATGTGGTGGCAGCATGTCTTGTCTGTCGGTCTCTCCAGCCTGCTGAGACTTGTAAATAATGTGACACCATAGGGAACCCTGGAGGCAGCTCTCCTTTCTCCCAAGTGAAGGTCAGGCTGTCCCAAGCCAACCCAGGGCCTCTTAGTCCTTGGAGTAGGAGTCAAGAAGTTAGATACTAGGGCAGCCAGCCTGAGGATGGTGGACTGACAACAAATGAATGAGCAGATTGAATGAAAGATGGTGGGACAAGGCTGTTGGGAGCAGTACTGCACCCCCTCCTCCAAGTATGCCCCACTGTGGGGCACCACTTCCTCCTACTTTTCACTCCAAAACTTCCTCTTTGGGCAACAACTTCTAAATCTCTCCCCTATTACTGTCTTAAGAGTGTCAGAGACCTGAAAACCAGGGCTTGAACCATTTCCCACAATGGAATCACAAGGCAAGAGCTGCCACAGCCACAGAGCGAGAACGGAGTCAGAGTGGGAACGCTAGTTCGGGACACTAACATTCTGAACTTTTCCCCCTAACACGGTACTGGGGCGTCCGAGAGTCTCTGCTGGAGATGATACCTCCCTCTCACGTCACCCGCTTCTCACAATGGATTATCTCCACACCCCCGCCCTGCAGGGTGGCAATGAGCCAGTCCACGAGCGTCCCCCACTTCTCGTGGCAGTAGGTCAGTCCACTCGGCCACCAGTTTCCCGTAGGATGTCTAAGGTTCCTTCCGTGCTGCTGCCGGCCCCTGCCCACTCACCTTTGGCTCTGGCTTTTCGCCACCACCGGCGCCTTTGACTTTTGGACCCCTCTTGAACCTTCTTCGAAGCCGGAGCCTCAGAGGCCACCCAGGGCCTCGTTTCCCAGGGCGATTCCATCAATTTTCCGCGGTCCCGTTCCCGCGGCCAATTCCACACCCGCCTGGGCCAATTCCACACCCGCCTGAGCCAATTCCACCCGCCAGTCTCCGCCCCGAGGGCCTATCCTCACACGCACCACCGCCGAGCCTCCACACCACCCAATCCCGGACTTGCTCCTCTCTGGGTCCCGCCCCCTGAGCGAGGTGGGCCGCCCTCGACACTCGGGTCCCGCCCCTTTCCACTAAGGCCTACGGTCTGGCCCCGCCCCTTCGCGTGCTTTAAAGGGCCCGCGACCAAGAAAAATGCAGCCCTGGAGGCGGCTAAAAGCGTATTCCTGCAAAACTAGCGGGGAGTCCCTAATCGTCACTCCAGCAAGGAAGCCCCGATGTAGTCACGTGTTGGCTGTCACCCTCGTCTTCCCACTCACCTGCCCACGTAGGGATCGTCTAGAACGCACTGTGCCTGCCCGCTTAGAAGTGAGCAGGATGCCACTTCGCCTCCGCCTGAGGGCGGGGAGCCGGCCAGGTCCTCAGGCAATTCAAAGCCAAGGCGGGCGGGGCTGCAGCGCAGGAGGCGTGACTCTGCCTGGGAGCCTTTGGAGGAGGAAGCCCCGCCTTTCCCTCCCCCGCCTGCCCCGCCCTCTGTCTTCTAGTTCTCCTATTGCTCTGTTTCTTGGGGTTCTTCTTCTCCCTGTCCTGTTCTTCCCTGCGAGAATGGAAGGCCAGGGGGCGGCGGGGGTTGGGGGTAGGGGTGTGTGTGTGTGTGTATAGGGTGCTCGGCGCCTGCGCACTAGCTCCAAGCCGCGCACCCGCCCGCAGGGTGGAGAGGAGGTCGCGGGTACCGCGCTGTCCCGGGAAAAGGCGGGAAACAGAGGGACTCGAGGCTCGCGCATGCGCACACACTCCGGCGCGGGGTGGGGGGGAGGGAGTGGAGAGGCTTTGGTTGTGGCAGAGCTGTGATGAGGGCATCCCTTGTGACTGAATTCGCGAGGCCCAGAGAAACACCAGAAATACCATCCCGTCTCTCCTCCCCACCCTTCCGAAACACACGATGAGGCCTGGCACTGAGAGACACCATGACACTCTTCTCCTCAGTCCTGAGAGAAACGACTCAGCGCTTCCAGGGGATACAGGCTCCTGGGCTGAGACCCGCCATTTACCAGCCTTCCGACTAACGGCTTCGTAACGCCTTCAGCTCCTGGATTGGGGCTGCATTGTTTTCTCCCCCTCTGGCTGTGTCACCACATGTTCCCTGCAGAGAACTTGCGGCCGTTCTCGTGCAGAGCAGGGCTTCTGAGCCCAGAGAAGGAGTTCAGGGCCGAGTCTTCTCCCCGGGGGCACCCACCATCATTAGCTTTGGAGGAGGAGGAGAAGGGGCAGGGTGCTGTCTCCAGCGGAGTCTCATGCCCAAGACCCGCCCACACCGCCCCCCGAGTCTCCCTCCCTGCGCGCAGCCCAGACCTGGCCTGGGATTTGGCGGAGCCCAAGCGCCTCTCCTGAGCCTCCCGCTTCCTGAGATCACACTCTACGAGGCCATGGGCCTGGTGGGACCGGGACTGTCCGGGGATGAGTGTCTTCCAGCTTACTGGACACCCCTGAGAACTGAAGGGCCGTCCCCGCCGGATGTCCGGCCTTGCCTGCGTGGCAACCCGCCCAGGGTGTCCCTGGTCAGCCAGGTGCTTGCCTCGAGTGGTGCTCAGAGTTCTGGACCCAGGGGATGAGCACTCGCCCTCTCCCACAGCCTTTCTTAGTTTCTGTTTGATTCCCACAGGTCTCTGCAGGGAGATGGCCTGGAACAGGGCAAGGAATCCGAGGCTGGCTGGGGATGGTGCCGCCAGCCACCCCTCCTGCCCAGCCCCCTACAGGCTCCCTCTCTTCTCCAGGCCTCAGCTTCCTCCTCCATCAAAGGGGGCTCTGGCTCTGTGTCTGGACTGCTGGGGGGTCACATGAGCTCACCTGAGCTCACCTGACGTTCTGGCAGTTCTTAGTTCTTGACTGAATGAATGACCATCCCTAGGAGCCTCTCCCCCTCTCCCTTCCTTCAAGCTCACCTGTGTACTGGTATTGTCTGGGATTCTGGCTGCTGATTTTCCTCCTTGGTGTTGACATCCCACCAAATCCTGACATCATTTCGTAACCAGGTTGCTCTTTGAAGGCCATCTTCACTCCAGGGGCCGCCATCCTACCCAGAGTGGCTGGTGAATCAATGTCTAATGTGAACCCCACATCTGGTTTTGTGCCTGAATCTGTGACCCACTCAAGAGATGTCTTCGATTCTGAGGTCGATGGCTGTTCGGATGGTTCATTTGGTTTTGATAGAAATTGCCACTCAGCCCAAGATTCCTCTCTGTATTTGACTCCCTGAGTTGCAAGGTCTGACTGTTGCCGTCTCTCTTGGGACATCAGTTCAGTCTGGGCAGGTGGTTCATTTTGGGGTTCAGGTTGCTGCTGGGCTCTGGATCCCTCTCTCAGTTCTGGGTCCTGTTGAGTTCTAGATTCTTCTCCTGGCCCTAGTCTGTGCTGTGAGGCAGCTTCCTGTTTACTAAAGGCCACCCTTTGGATGGGAGGTGACGGCTGTGGGGCAGACTCCTGTGGGGCACGAAATTCCTGGTACAGAGCGGATTTTTGTTGTGCTGGACGTCCCTGCTGGGCTTCAGTTTCCTGTTGGGCAAGGGGTCTTTGCTGTGCAGTGAGGTTCTGTGGTGTATCGGGTGCCTGCTGAGCCTTAGATGCTGGCTGAGCTGTGGGTGTCTTTTCTGGCTCAGACTCTGGCTGAGTGATAGGTATCTGGAGTGGCTCAGGTTCCCAGTCAGGCCTAGAAACTAACTTAGAGCCTGGCTCCACTGTTGTGAGTTCCCTGAAGGGAACTGTTGATCTCCCAGGCTTCATCCTTCTGGGCTTTCCTTTGTCACAGATCTGGGCCTCCTTCACCGACTGCTCATGATGGCACCTGCCTTTGGGTTCCACTCCTTCATCCTGGCATCTCTGCTCTTCCTTTTTAAGGCAGTTGGCAAGTGGCCCCTCTATTCCTTAGCCTAGTAATGTGCTTCTGTGCCTCCTGCTTTTGAGAGGCAGGCCTGGGAACAGGAGGAGGCTGTGTGCCCAGCACACTGTCCTATCAGACAGCAGGGGCCTGCCCTGTTGTGTCATAAATAGGACCCCACCCAACTCACCAATCCATTAAAATGCTTCTTCTCATAAGACCAGCATCCCAATTTAGTCTTCTCTTTCATCTGAATGACAGAAGCCAGCCTCTGGCTGAGTGTTTCTTTTCTCCTCCTCTGATATTTGAGGAAATGGTCAGAGGGGGAAGCAGAATCCACACTTTTTTTTTCTTTTTGGCCACAGTGGTTTGCAGGATCTTTGTTCCCTGGCCAGGGATTGAACCTGGACCCCAGCAGTGAAAGTGCCAAGTCCTAACCTCTGGATTTCCAGGGAATTCCTAGGATCTACACTGTTTTAATGTTTTCCTCTTTACTCGTTCTTCCAAATCCATTTTTATTTCCTTATGTTTTCATTCTGACAATTTTATCCCCATGTTACAAAAAAATATGCCTTCTCATTTTTTCACTTGAAGCCCTTTACAGTGGCATTTGAGATTTTCCACACCATCTCTCTAGCCTTCAACTCCGCTATTGTACATACGTCTTCTGTAGTAGATTGGAAACTTACAGGGTCACTTGACCATTAATGATGATGATGATACTCGTAAGTACTGGAGGCATTTTATGTGCTAGGAAACTGTGACAAGTTTGTTTTTTTTTTAATCTACATTATCTTTGCTGAGACAATGTCTTACTTATTACTTTACTTATTACTTACTTATTACTTTAACTTCTTTCTTTGCTTTACCTAGCTTTTACCTCAGAAAGGCTTCTCAAATGAGTAAAGAAATAAAAGATTGGATAGTGGAGAGAGATTGAGGATGATTTTGGGGAGAGGTGTGTGTAGAATCTGGATTAAGTTTGGAATTTACAGAGTAAAATGGGTTCACTGGCTTGAATGTGAATTTCCAGGCCTCTTTGAAAGAAATAATTCTGATCTATTGTGTGTGTTCTCAGTCGTGTCTGACTCTTTGTGACCCCAAGGATTGTAACCCTCCAGACTCCTCTGTCCTTGGAATTTTCTAGGCAAGAATACTGGAGCGGTGTTGCCATTTCCTCCTCCAGGGGATCTTCCTGACTCAGGGATCAAACCCACATCTCTTGTGTCTCCTACCGTGGTAGGCAGATTCTTTACCACTGTGTCAATTATATTTAAATATATTAATTGGCTACTTGTCTGGTTCTATTTAAGGTCAGGAGGTGCCAGCTAGGAAACTTGGCTTTCCTGGTTTCTTTCAGGTAAGTAAACTTAAGCCTGGGTCTGTAGAGGGCACAGGAAGAGACTGTTAGGAGAAGGCCTTAGAGGGCACAGTAATTCTGGCGATAATGTTTTGTTTTTTGTTTTGTTTTGTTTTGTTTTTTTGAGAATACTAGAATGGTTTAGGGACTAGGGACTGTGATGGGGAGCCTGAGGTGGAAGAAGAGCATCTTCTAGGTGTGCTCACGGCCTTGTAGGCTGAGAATGTTTCTTTGGGAGGGTGGGGCCTCAGAGCGCCTATAAAGGCAGAGCAAAGCTTGCCAGCTGACATTGTCTGAGAAATTGCTGTCAGGCTTTGGAGGGCTTGGTTGGCTTCCTATGGTGTCTTTGGTGTCCTAGGGTGAAAGAAAAGGGAGAGACTGCTGTTAACATTTTTAGAATTTAATTTTAATGAGAGCTTTTAAAATGTTAAAAGTAAGACTCATCTAGTGGAAAAATTAAAATAAAAGCTTATTTATTTTATACAGAATAGTTTGTTCTCCATACCTTTTTGTATGTAAACATAATAGTTGACTTAAAAAAAAATGAGCTTGTACTATACATATTGTTCTTTGCAACCCTGCCAGGCTTCCCTGTCCATGGGCTTCTCCAGGCAAGAATACTGGAGTGGGTTGCCATGCCCTCCTCCAGGGGATCTTCCTGAACCAGGGATCAAACCCACATCTCTTATCTCCTGCATTGGCAGGCAGGCTCTACTTCTGGAGCCACCAGGGAAGCCTGTTTTGCTCTGTGCCTTTAACCAGTCTTATTATACTATAGAAATATCCATAAATCCATATATCTATAGAAATCCATAAAACTTATGTGTATAGTTTGGGACTTCCCTTGTGGTCCAGTGGATAAGAATCCTCCTTGCAAGGCAGGGGACTCAGTCTGATCCCTGCTTGGGGAACTAAGACCCCCACATGTTGCAGAGCAACTCAACCCATGCTGCAGCTACTGAAGCCCGCCTGCTCTGGAGCCCTTGTGCCACAACTAGAAAGTCCATTTGCCAAAATGAAAGTTCCCACATGACACGATGAAGATCCTCTGTGCTGCAACTAAGACCTGATGCAGCCAAATAAATAAATAAAAAATAAATATTAAAAAAAGACCTAGGTGTCTGCCTTTTAGTGGCTGCTTTACTTCAAACTAAGCCATTTTTCCTCTCTGTTTCAGTCTTGCCTGTGAGTAAAATAAGGCTGAAAATGGGGTCCAGGAACCTCTTGGAAGGCAGCCCTGGGTTGTTGGGGAAAAGGATAAGGGAGAGGGGGCCAGCCAGACCTTCAGCCTGGACCCTGGACCCTGGAGGAGTCTGGCTCTTACATGAGACTCACGAAGACATGAGTAGTGGGCTCGGGAGAGGGCAGGGGGTGAGGGCAGCTCCGATAATATCTGTTCTGCTCTCAGAGGGATTCAGGAGAGCAAGTGGGGATATTGATGGTGCACTCTTGTCAATATTTTGTTACTGACTTTTGCACTCACATTCTTGGCCTCCTTCTTGGAGCCACCTCCCAGAAGCCTGGCATTGGTCCCTTTGGCCTCTGGCAACCCCTGTAGGAAGGAAACTGGTCACTTCCAGGCACTGGAAAGGGAAGGCGCCAAGAGACTTGGTCGCTTATCACTGTGCCTCTGGGTCAGTGCAGCTCCATTGCGCTTCCTCTTTACTCAGGGATCTAGAGTACTTCAAGAGAGGAGTATTTTATATGTATCTTATTTAAGCCATACCGTGTGGCTTGTAGGATCTTAGTTCCCCAATCTGGGGTTGAACCCAGGCCCTTGGCAGTGAAAGTGCAGAGTCCTAGCCCCTGAACTGCCAGGAAATTCTCTATTTTAGTTTTTAAATTGTATGGTTAATGTTGTATTAATTTCTGGCCTACAGCAAAGTGATACAGTTTTATACATACACACACACAAATATATTCTTTTTTGTATTCTTTTCCATTATGATGTATTGCAGGATATTGAATCTAACAGGTTCCTGTGCTATACTGTAGGACATTTTTGTTTGTCTATTTTATATATAATGGTTTATATCTTCTAATCCCCAACTCCTAATTTATCCCTCCCCCACCCCCTTTTCGCTTTGGTAACCGTAAGTTTGCTTTCTATGTCTGTGAGCCTGTTTCTGTTTTGTAAATAAGTTCACTTGTGTCACTGGATTCCACATATAAGTGATATCATGGTATTTGTCTTTCTCTTTCTGACTTACTTCACTTAGTAAATGACAATCTGTAAGTCTATCCATGTTGCTGCAAATGGCATTATTTCATTCTTTTTAATAGCTGGATAATATTCCTTTGTATATACATACGACATCTTTATCCATTCATCTATGGAAGTCATTTAGGTTGCTTCCATGTCCTGGCTATTGTAAATAGCACATATATCTTTTTAAATTATAGTTTTGTCCAGATATATGCCCAGGAGTGGGATTGCTAGATCATATGGCAACTCTATTTTTAGTTTTTTGAGGAACCTCCGTACTGTTTTCCATTATGGCTGTACCAGTTAACATTCCCACCAACAGTGTAGGAGGGTTCCATTTTCTCCACACCCAAGAGAGGAATATTTTATTTTATTTTATTTTGAGAGGAATATTTTAAATGGATAAGGAATTCAAGTTTAAAATCCGACTTAGAGAAAAGCTTACCTAGAAGTAGGTGGAGAAAGAATGATTTCTGGATGGAAAAGTAGGGGTTAATCAAGAACTTACATTCTCCCCCTATTAAGATTCCCTCCTACATACATTAAAATCCTGAAGCCTTGAGGAATGAGAGCAAGGAGTAGACTATTCCATTAACCAGTCAGGAACTTCACCTGACCTCCATGTTTTGTTGTATTTGAATCCATAGTCCCAGTTCAACTGTTAGAAGTTGGTATTTACCTTTGTAACAAATCCATTCCTCTTTTTGTCTCTATTTAAGTCTGTCTTATCACCTGATGCTCTTTTATGCCCATCTTGTAAGACCTAAAATATTTTTTATGACAATCAAGGTGATGTTTTATAGGTATTCTGGAGCTGCAATTGGGTCCAGATGATGCTTCCTCTGTACAGGAGTTGTTCATATTTCCTGCCAGACTGAATTATACCTTCACATGGTTCCCTACTATATTTGAATATGGTAGCTGAAGCTGAAGCTCCAGTACTTTGGACACCTGGTGCAAAGAGCCAACTCACTGGAAAAGACCCTGATACTAGAAAAGATTGAAGGCAAAAGGAGAAGGGGGTGGCAGAGGATGAGATGGTTAGATAGCATCACCAACTCAATGGACATAAATTTGAGCAAACCCTGGGAAATAGTGAAGGACAGGGAAGCCTGGCATGCCGCAGTCCATGGGGTTGTAAAGAGTTGGACTCCACTTTGCAACTAAACAACTATCATTGTACAATTACACTTATAGTTTGTTGTTTGAAATGTGTTATGTATTGAATTCTGTCCCCCTAAAATTCATGAAGCCACAACCCGTAATAACTCAGAAAGTCTATATTTGAGGATAGGGCCTTTTAAGGAGATGATTAAGTTAAAATGAGACCCTTATGGTGGGCTCTATTCCAATCTGACTGGAGTTCTTGTAAGGAGAAGAGATTTGGGCACACAAAGAGACACCAGGCATGTTCATGAACAGAGGAATGAACAGTGAGGAAACAGCAAGGAGATGGCTATCTGTAAGCCAAGGAGAGCGTCCTTGGAAGAAACCAAAGTTGCTGACACTTTGATCTTGAGCTTTCCAGTCTTCAGAATTGTGAGGAAATAAGTTGTTGTTTTAAGCCTCACAGTCTGTGGTATTTTGTTATGGGCAAGTCTAGCAAACTAAAAATCTTTCTCCCTCACTAGATGCTGAACCAATGATTCAGTAGTGACTCAGCTACATGGCTGCTGACACACGGTAGACACGTGGTAAATGTCTGATAAGCAGATGGACACGTCCAGAGAGGGCCCTTAGAGTAGCCCCTGCTTCAATCCAGCTCTCCTGTTTCCCAGACTCGTGCCCTTTCTGCCACACAGATGGAGGGTGTTACACCATTTCTCCAAGTGCTGGTTTCCAAGTGTTTTCACGTGCTGTTTTGAGTGGTGTTAATTTCAACAGGCATGGCCCCTGCCATCTAAACTTTTCTAATATTTTACTCTCGCCTGACCTCTACTTCTGGTTCCAGAGACAAGCCGCAGAATATTAGAGTCAGAGGTTATCTTGAAGATCATGAGTGGAACCCTTTCGCTGAGGAGTTTTTCTTTTTCATTTTTAACGCAGCATAACTATATTAGAGAAAATTTGTAAAGTTCAAATAAAAATCTTTACTCTTGCCAACTGTTGGAATTTTAGTGCGCATATGATTTTTTAAATATAGTGATAGCCACACTCTGTGAACATTTTCCTTTTTATTCACTTTGTAAGCTTGTTCCTATGTTGTCTTACAACATTGATAACAGACTTTTTAAGATAAAACATTCTTTTTTCATTTGGCTTCACTGATTGGTCTTAGTTTCAGCACAGTGGGATCTTTGATCTTCGTTGTGGCATGTGGGATATTTATTTAGTTTCAAACTCTTAGTTGCAGCATGTGGGATCTAGTTCTCTGACCAGGGATGGAATCTCAGCCCTCTGCATTGGGATTGTGGAGTGTTAGCCACTGGACCACCAGGGAAGTCCCCAAAACAGACATTTTGAATGACTACATAACACTCGCAAGTATATGCACTTCAGATTACCTAATTGCTCTCTCATTGCTGAATATTTAGATTGTTTTATTTTTAGATATTGATAAATTTCTTTGTAACTGTTTTCCACATGTTGGATTTCTGTCTTAGGGAACACAAGTGGAATTACTGGGTCCAAAGTTAAGAACAGTTTTATTTTTCTAGATATATTTACCAAGTTGCTTTTTAAAAAGTTACATTAAGTTAACTAAACCACTGTCTCTTTTATTTTCAGGTGAGGAAACTGAGACCCTGAGAGAGCAAATGAAATGCCCAAGTTGATAAAGGTAATGGTGACTCATCTGGTGCTAAAACCTAGATCCAAGGCTCTTAGTCTGTTGTTTTTTCTGCAGCCCTGTATGACCCTAATTTCATGGTATAACTGAAAATGAAACTGTTACTATAGTATTATGTCCCCCAAAGTTCAGACATTTTTGGACCACCTTAATTTTTGCTACGGCTTAGACCACCTCTACTGTTATTTATTTCATATTAAACTTTTTTCTTTAAATAAATTTAATTTACATAACATCTTCATTCTATGCAATATTTTCTGTGAGAGTCCAGGTTTGATACATGCTTAGATCTTTTTCTAAGGTGCATTAAAAACAAGCATATGACTATTAAAGTAGAAGCTTATTTATGTTTTACCTAAAATCAGTTTTGGAAAATATTGATATGATGGAATAAGCATGGACCTTGTATCCAGACATTCCTGAGGTCAACTGCTTGCTCTGTCAGTTAGCTATATGGTCTTGGAGAAGTCACTTAACTTCTTTGATTATCAATTCTATGGTTTGTAGAGTGTCTATCAGTATCCACCTTGCAGTGATGTTAGGAATAAAGAAGCTTCTGTGGGCCCAGTGCCCAAGTAGATGTTCAGTACACTGTGGTTATTATAGTGTGTATTATTGCAGACTTCCAGTTATTTCCCAAAAGGAGTGTCTATACTGGCTTATTGTTCTTGCTAACTTGTATGTGTAAAGAACTTGCTTCCACATGTTAGGTTTTGCAGTAGATCTGTTATTACTTTTACCTCTCATATCCTCTACTTATTAGTATTGTGATTTTGGACAAGTTTGCTTAACTTTTCTGTGATCTATTTACATAATTTCTAAAACCAGGCTTAAAAAGTACATTGGTTTGTGTATGCACACATCTGTCCACCAGAGGGCCTAGACCTCATAAGAGCCCCAGTGCATGCATGCTCAGTCATGTCTTGACTCTCTGCAATCCCATGGACTGTAGCCTGCCAGGCTCCTCTGTCCAGGAGATTTCCCAGGCAAGAATACTGGAGTGGGTTGCCATTTTCTTCTCCAGAAGATCTTTGTGACCCAGTGATAGAACCCATGTCTCTTACATTGGCAGATTCTTTACCATCTGAGCCACCAGGGAAGCCAATAGCCCTGGTAGCCATGGGCAATACCTAGTGCCCAAGATTTGTGAATATCATTCTCCCATGAAAGGAACCAGGGCTCTGTGGGGAAATGGCTGACTCCAGGGCTGCAGAAGGGAAGTGCAAGATGACCCTGGAACATCTTGAGGTGTTACCAAAAGGTGTGGGGTCTGGCTACTTGCCGCTCAAAAGGTCAATAAACAGGCCAGGTTGTAGAAAGGAAAGTTTGCTTTATTTCAGATGCTGGCAACTGAGGGGGAAGGTGGCAGACATCTGTCCAAAGGCTGACTCCCCACCAGCCACCCTGGGAACCAGTGGGACAAGAGGTTTTATAGACAGAACGTGGGGGGTACTACATATAGAAAGAGCACAGTCATCTCTGACAGTCATCTTCAAATTGGTCATCAGTGGTCTGACCAGCATCATCTTGGTTGTTTTAGGTAGTTAATCTTCAGTTCCAGGGTTGGTTTGTTCCCATTTCTTTGAGGCTAGTTCTCGGAATCGTGGCAGCTCATGTCATGGTCTGGTCATCATGTAGTTAACCTCTCCACCTGGTGTTTTGCTATCTATAAGACAGCTCACAGGATATGGCCCAGAATATTATCTGCAGCCCTTGAGAAAGAAGTAAAGGTCCTTGACTACGCTTAATAACTACATTATTATTACTTGATCTCCTCTGCCTGTTTTCCTTTGTTTCTACATTTCCCACTTCTTTAATTAAACCTATTCTTTGACTAAAGTTTTCCACATACAAAAGACAGGCAGAGGACATGGTGGGGGTTGGGGGGCAAGGACCATAGAGTCCTGCTCCATTTCAGTGTGAGAAAGTCAGGAACTGCTGAAGAAATGATATATCCCGAAAGACACTGAAGCCACCTGGATGGGGCTCAGTGGTCAGCTTTGGGACAATAGGAGCAACGTTGTATATAAAGGATGGTGGATTATAATCCACAAATACCCCTGAGTCTTTACTTATATAAGTACATAATTTAATACCTAAATAAATGGGAGAGAAGCAATAGCTCGCTCTCTCTCTTTTGTATTCAACTCATGGTTTTAAAGCAATGACTTTTGAAAAGACCATAACCTAAGGAGCTGCCTACTACATCACTGACTACACATCACTTCCTCCAGGATGTGGAGACACTGGATAAATAGATGCTGTGAAGGGATATTTGGTGCAGGAACAGCTCTTCCTCATAGGGGAATGTTAATTAACAAACATAGAAGGAATAATGGAAACAGAAAATCACTGATTTGCTAAAACCAGAGTAATACCTGTTGTAGGCAAGAATTACCCATGGATTTTAAAAATTAATGGGCATAAGTATGACGAGAAGAAACCGGTTATTTGGGCAGTCTCAAACTATCTCTCCACAGGATACTGTTATGCCCGCTGTCCGAATCCCCCAGCAGGAAAAGAGAAGACCTCCATGACAATGCAACACACAAAGGAAGGGAAATTTATTGCTGACTCGAGCCAGGGCCCCTGCTGCAACCAATGCAGTGGTGCAAAGTCAGAGGGCCCCGAGCCCCAGTTTCCACGCACATTTATAGGGTGCTCGATTTCAAACATAAGCAGTGGGTAGTGGGCGCAAGCAGATTGGTTACATGTTTGCAAAGCAATTTTATTGGTACAAACTTTCGCGCGCACGGGACTTTCCAGGGGACCTTCTCAGAGGTTTAATGGGCGCGTACTGATTAGCTGGGGTCGGGTGGCCTGTTGAGGGCAGAT